TGATTTGGCTGACTAATCGATTAATCGAAAAAACAATCAACAGATTAATCGATTATTAAAATAATCGTTAGTTGCAGCCCTAAAGACATGCTTGTAGTTTAAGGAACTGGTTGGATTCATCAGGTTTCATGGATAAATATAACTGAGTGTCATCAGCATAACAATGGACATTTATCCCATGCTGTTTGATAACTTTACCTAAAGGAAGCATTTATAAAGTAAAGAGGATTGGTCCAAGCACTGAACCCTGAGGAACTCCATGACTAACTCTGGTGTTAGAAGAAGATTCATTATTAACATTAACAAACTGAAATCTATCAGTTAAATAAGACTTAAACCATTTTAGAGCTGTTCCTTCTTGTTGCCCTCCCGAAGGAAATAGAAGATATTTTTATTAAATTTTATTTTTGTTCGTTTTAACTCTGTGAGCTAAAGTTTTTCTGACGTATGGGACGACGGATGGGAGAGGTCATATTTATTTTTAAATTTCTCACATTTCTCTGGTTTCACACTCATCCAGTTTTGTGACGTTTGCATCAATGAAACAAACCGACAGGTTGGAAACCAGCTCATCGCTATTGTTTTTAATTTCCCTTCAAAAGGTGAACCAGCATGTCCACAAACCCGAGGCCACGGTCCGCCTCAGGTTCCACCATGTGTTCGTTTGTGAATCAGAATAAAACACGTTCTGTGTCATCGGGTTGTGGTTTAACCCCCAAAGGCTTCGGTTTAGGTTTACAGAGAAGACGAGGCAACAAACAGCAGGAAGCAGAGTCCTGCAGCACATTTAGACAGAAAAGAAAGGAAGCAGGAAGCTGCAGGTTGTAGAGAAGTATGACGAGGAAAGTCCTCCAGATATCTGCTCAGTTTCCACTTCAGCTGCAACAGAAAGTCAGCGGGTTCTAAAGGTTTCTGAATGAAAGCTGTCRTCATCAGGATCCCGCTGCCACTTTTATTCTGGATATTAATCTTCAGACTCGTCAGGTTTCATAAACTCTCATTGTTGGGCTCAACTTCACATCCAGAGAACTGAGAACTTCTTCAGAAACAGAAGAACAGAGAGTCAGTWAGAAGCAGGTGATGTTTGAATTGGTCCGATTTTACACAGTAAAACCATCATTCAGTCGAGTCATGAGAGCAAAGAAAATTTAATCGAAATATTAGGTTAATATGATGAATATGTCACYGTGCACACATCCAGAGTGATAAATTCAAATGTTGGGATGAAGCGGGTTAGGGGTCTGCAGTGCAGCAAAAAATAACAAAAATTATAATATTCTGCAATTTTTACAGATATTGAGACACATGAAGTTATTAATTACTTAAAAGTTTTATTCTGGTTATAAAGATTACAGCACTTGATGTTTACATCAGTAGAGGCCACTCACTGGGTCTGTGTTTGCTCTGGATAAAGTTTGACTGGGGGTGGGGGGTCAGGTTTTCACATTAAATAAAATTTATTGTATATATATAT